GGGTTGCTCCAGAAAGGGATGGGCATCACTAGCAGCTCCATGGGAGCCCAGGACAGTCACTGTCTCTTATACACATCTAGATGTGTATAAGAGACAGGTGTGTGTGTGTGTGTGTGTGTGTGTGTGTGTGTGTGTGTGTGTGTGTGAAAAGGAAGCAGACAAGGGGAAAAATAAGACGGGAAAAAAAGATCGGCAGGAGAGTTTAAGCCTGAAGAAGGGAAGGGTGTTTCAAGTGGAAGCGTTTTTTCGGGTGTTACTATGGTGTGGGTAATGAACGAGTTGTGTGCCGCTAAGCTTCATTCTTAAGAGATGGCATGGTAATTGTAGTCCTCTTGATTTTCCTCTTACTTCTTTTTTTTGGTTTGGTTGTGTTTGGTACTTTGCAGGCCCGTCTTGCTTCTTCTCGTCTCGTGGGCGGTCCTACCTTAGGTGGCTACCGGTACTGGTTGACTTGTACACAATCATCCTCATCCTACCGGTACTGGCTGTACGTAATCATCCTACCTTAGGCAAGCAGCCGGCGAATCAAGTCGGGACCCCGTCTCCCCGTCTCCCCGTCTCCCCGTCCCCCCGGTCATCGTGTCTGATCGTTGTCATCCAAGCAGCCAAGCAGCCAAGCAGCCAAGCAGCAGCTGATTCGAAAGCGAAACCAGTCGACGTTGAAGTTGCACTGCGCTTGACCTCCGCATGGTGAACTGCGCTACCGTCTTCCGCCGAACAGAATAGCTCGTACACACACAGTAATTATCAGGGTGCGTTATGTTCGGGGGACGACAGTAGTTGCGCGCTTGAACTGCGCTTGAACTGCGCTTGAGCTGCGCTTGATACGTTCGCTTGAACTGCGCTTGATACGTTGGCTTGAACTGCGTACGTTCGCTTGAAGCTCGCCTGGTAAAGTGCGCGCGTGAAGTGCGCTAGTAGTGCGGTTGAAGCGCGCTCGAAGTGCGCTGGTAGTGCGCTCGAGGTGCGCTTGATACCTGCGCTTGAAGTCCGCCTGGTAAAGTGCGCGGTTGAAGTGCGCTAGTATTGCGGTTGAAGCGCGCTAGTATTGCGGTTGAAGTGCGCTTGAAGTGCGCTTGAAGTGCGCTTGAAGTGTGCTTGAAGTGCGCTTGAAGTGCGCTAGTAGTGCGCTTGATACCTGCGCTTGAAATCCGCCTGGTAAAGTGCGCTTGAAGTGCGCTTGAAGTGCGCTTGAAGTTAGTAATGTGCTTGAAGTGCGCTTGATACCTGCGCTTGAATTCCGTCTGGTAAAGTGCCCTTGAAGTGCGCCTGATATCTACGCTTGAAGTCCGCCTGGTAAAGTGCGTTTAACACTAGTAAGTGCATCCTTGAAGTGCGGTAGTAGTGCGGTTGAAGTGCGCTTCATTGCGCTTGAAGAAGATGGACTACAACGGTGATGATGATGGGATGCAGAACACGAAGGACAACAACGATCATCATCTGGCCGATGATGATGATGATAAAAGGGATGCCAAGATGGAGTCTGCTTCTGGTACAGCCGACAACGATGAACCTGGTCCATCATCGAAGAAACGAGCTCGAACATCTTTGGACGCGCGCGGGTTTGATACAGTCACTCAATTCGACGACGATGTGCTACCATCCCTACCACCACCACCACCACCACCTTCTCTGCATCATCATCCTAACCATCACCATTACCATCATGATGGTCATCATCAAGACGATGGTCCCTCCTCGCCATCGCCATCGCCATCGCCATCGCCATTGCAATCTCCATCTCCATCTCCATCTCCATCGCCAAACTTAACTGCTGCTTCTTCAAGTGGATGGCATCTTCGTCGTAACGGCGACGGCTCAAGCACGATCAAGACCAAGACCCTACTCCCGGCGGAAAAGAGTTTGCTGTCTGTGGACCGCAGAATTGGAACAAGTGAACGACGTCAAGAAGAAGACGAAGAAGAAGAAAAAGAAGAAGAAGAAGTGGAAAAAGAGGATCTGTTTGCTCGGCTTCCAGACAGCCTCCTTTTGAAGATTTTGGACGACGTACAAGATGTGAAGATGATATTCCGCTGCTCCGTTTTGTGCAGAAGGTTGCGCGCACTCGTCTGGAAGGCAGGTTACGTTATGTTACGTTACGTGACGTTATGTTTTCGGTTTTCTACGTTGTTTTTGTTTTTTGTTTTTCGTTTTGGGGATGTTTT